GCGCCCTCATCGCGGGCGGCATCGCGGCGATGGCGAAGGATCGGCGGAGGGCGGTTCTGGAGCTGCTGCAGCGGCCTGGGAACACGCGCTGTGCGGACTGCGGCGCCCCGGGTAGGTGCCAGCTGGGGGGCTGCGGGGCTGGGGGCTGCGGAGTAGCTGAGTTTGCTCCCGGTAGGGTCTGGCCCGGGTGGGTGAGGGTCCGGGTGGTTGAGGACCGAGTGTGTGTGCCCAGTTAAGTGCCGGCCTGGGTGGGTGTGGGTACGGGTAGCTGCAGGCCTGGCTCGCGTGGGTGCGGGTCCATGTGGATGTGGGCAGGGTGGGTGTGGGCTGGTCCCCAGGGACTGGGAAGGTTAATGTGGATGCCTCGGGGATGGAGGCGCTGGCTCCCAGGCAGCGTCTGCATTCGGGTGGGGCGCGGGCCCTGAGTGCACCTGCTGGGACTGACGTCGTCCAGGGGCACGGGCCAGGCTGGAGGGTGCCCCTCGCCACCCCCGCCTGCCTCTGTGCCGCCGCCTCCCCTCCCCCGCCGGGCTGCGTGTCTCGCTGTCACCCGCGGACTACCCGCCGCGTTGCGAAACCTCAGGCTCCGCAAAGAAAGAGGAAATCGCGGCGGCAGCTAGCTACAGAGAGAAAGCACAGCAGCGGGCTGGTGGGTTTCTGAGGGGGGATGACGGCGGTGGTGGTCCTGGCTTCCTGACTACCTGAGTGACGTCATGGCACCCGGCCAGGAGCCACCGTCTGGCACAGCTCACTGAGAGGAAGCCCTGAGAGCCTCCCGTAAACCCTGTGGGGAAAGGCTCCCCTCCACAGCTCCCTGCACCTAGTCGCTCTGGGGCAGGAGGCCAGTACAGGTGGGGTTCAGGAGGCCTACCACCCCATTCTTCCAGCCCAGTATCTCTGGACTTTGTTCCTTGGCGGCTCCTGGACTGGGGTGATTTCCAAGGCGCCAGAGTCCAGCCCACTCCCTCACTTCCCAGGGCTGCTGTCCTGCCATTGGCTATCAGACCAGCCCCAGTCGCTGGGCTGGCAGCTCCCTCCAAACCCTGGGAACTCTGGGCTGCGAGGTGAGGACCAAGCCGGAACAGCCCTAGTGGCTCACCTGTCGGTGCCCCTCCCTTCCCACCAGGGTGGCCCCACCCAGGCACATCAGGAATCTGAAGACCCCCAGCCTGAGCCCCTCAGAACAAACCTGACTCACCATAGGGTGTCCACCTACCTCAGGGAGGGAGTGGGGGGGACAGAAGGCGGAAGGACGCTGCATTTGCTTCCTGAGACACCAGGAAAATAGGGCCTGGACTCCATCTTCCCTCCCTTCCCCACTCTCTGGGCTGGGAGGGATCTTTGACAGTCCAAGGTCCTTAGGGTCTGCAAGATGGCCTAAAGAGGGCTGCACCAGTAGCTGGAGGGGTCCAGAGGGGAGATGATGACAGGCTTTTCCGGGAAGCTGGGCAGGCCGAGGAAGCCTGCCCTCAACCTCCGGAGCAGGGCAGCCATAGCCCTTGCTGATAGTGCACTGCCCCTGCCAGCTGGACTGGCTCACCCCGACTCTCCCCACCTCCCTGTCCTAGACCTGTATTTCCACTTGTTCAGGAGAGCTGGCTGTGCCAGGAGAGTCAGGGGAGGATGGCGACCAGTGACCAACTCATTCTGTTCTCAGGCCAGGCCTAGGGGCTGTGGTCCAGAAGAGCTAGTCTGTCCCTGTCCCCCCATCCCTGGCCACGGGTGCTCCTCCGGATGCAGAGCTGCTTTCCAGCCACATTCTGGACCTCTCACTAGGAAGGAGGAAGAGGGGGCTCCCTTGGCCCTTCAGGGCCTCCTCCCCTCCCAGTGGGCACTTCCATGCCCAGCCTGCACACTGAGCTTTCAGTCCCTCAGGCCAATGCAGGGCACCAGCACACTTGGTTCTGGAGCACAGGCTTGGCGCGCCAATGCTCAGTGCTGTCTGGTATTGGACCAAGTCTCTGGTTTCTCAGAATTGGCCCATGACATCAGTATCTTGCCTCACCTGTCTGTCAGACCTGTGGAGCACATAAGATATGGGGAATTGCTTCTTTTACATCTGGGAAAACTGAGGCCTCAACATTTGAGCTGTCTCAGGGAACATGGTACCCAGCCATAGGCCGGCCCACCCCACTCATGCCACCCTTCCCAGGCTCTCTCCCTTGCCCCAGGGCAGTGGCCACATTGTGGGCAGGCGTCAGGTTGTAGGGCTGCTGCCCTGCCTCCCTAAAATCCCCCTGGGCATGCTGGCGCAGGGTCTCTGCTTCTTGGCTGAAGTCAGGCTAGTCTGTCGTGTTCTGTGCTGCTGTGGCCCTGATGGCGACAAGCAGCCACTCGGCATTGATGGAGCTTGGGGATGGACAGTGTGCACTGCTGTTATCAGAGCACCTTCATGTGGACGGACTCCTGCTGCTTTTCCTGACCACATCGAGGAGCCTGGCAGCATGGTAGCCAGGTGACCACGGCATCCCTTCTGGACAGCAGGACATCAGGGCAGGCTCAGGCTGCCTCTGAACACCAGGCCTGGGGGCTCTGGGGCAGATGTGAACAGACCCCCCCCAGCTGGCTGTGTGAGAGCTCCTGGGAGGGAGGCAACCCTCACAGAAACTCCTCCTGAACCATCCCCAAAATCTGCTCCATAAGCGGCTCCCCGATCCTGACCATGGGGCCACATCCAACAGCCATCCAGAGCAACTTCTCATCGAAGGCCTGAGCAGGGGTGGGTGGGTGTGCTTGGGTCCACTCTCCTGCAAGTCTGGGTTGAGTTCTCCCTCTTGGGTGGGGTTGAGGGAGGGAGGAGGTTAGATTCCTCTGTACCCCCTCTGAGCTGCCCACTTAATCAGAACAAATGACAGATTTTCCCCTTTGAGCTGATGCCAGTGCTCCAGACGGACCTGGTGTCTTTAATTGGGTTGGGTGTGGTTGTTGATTCTGGGGTACTTTGAAGCTTGTCACCTGGGTGTCTGAATCACCTGGTACACCAGGTGAAACCACCAAGCCCAGGAGCACCCTGGGCTTTCCAGTTCTGGAAATCTGGCTTGAAGAGGAGACCAGAAGGTTTGGGGCCATCATGTGGTGACCCTGTTGGTCAAGGGTTACTTGTTCATTCTACATCTGGACCTGAGGTACCCAGGCAGGTTAGGCTTTGAGGTGGCCTGGTACCCAGGGATGATGGGGTATGAATGACCCTGAGGGACAGTTCTCAAAGCTCAGCCTGGACTGAAGACTATAACTGAAGGGCCAATGGGGTAGACTCAGAGATTGAGCTCTTCATTCAACCCCAGAAGGCTTCAGGACAGAGGATGTTTCAGAAGTTGCTGGTGTGCAGGGGCCCCTTGATGGGGAGAAGCTTCAGGAATTTGCCCTATTTTAGGATAGAGTCCTAAGTGTGGGTAAGTGAATGGCAGGGGCCTGATGAGAGGTGGGCTGGGCAGATAGACCACCCCCATTTCTTCCCAGGGCAGCAACCTACTTGAGTTTGTTTTATTTTTAAAATATTTTTGGAAGGCCAGCTGTGGCTTGAGGCAGCTGGATTCCACACTGCCATTTACACGATTCAAGTCCCAGAAACGGTGTCTCTCTCTCTTTCTCTCTCCCCCTGGTGAGTGCACATGCCCTCTGGCAAAATTTAAATAAATAGATTTTATTCTCTTTAGTTTTTTTCTTTCTTTTTTTATTAAATAAAATTTTAAAAAGGGAAAAAATGTTCTTGTGGTGAAATATAGTTCAGTGGCATTAAGCACATTGGCATCACTGTGCAACTCCCACCACCAGCCATCTCCAGAACGCACTCGTTTCCCTTATTCCCCTTCTCCAGCCCCTGACACCACCCTTCTGCCATCTGTCTCTGTGGATGTGACTACTCAGGGACCACACAGGAATGGGAGCAAGCAGTATTTGTCCTTTGGTGACTGGCTTACTTCACTTAGCATCATGTCCTCAAGGTTCACCTCTGCAGTAGCATGTGTCTGAATTTGCTTCCCTTTCATGGCTGAATAATGTTCCTTTCTGTGGATAGACACATTTAGTGTATCCATTCACCCATAGATGGACACTTGGGCTGCATCCACTGCTGGGTTAGTGTCAACAGTGCTTGTGTAAATGTTCCTTCAAGATGCAGCCTCTGATTTTTCTGAGTATGTACACAGAAGTGGAATTGCTGGGTCATGTGGTAATTCTGTGTTTAGCTGTTTGAGAAATGCCAGACTGTTTCCCCACCTTGCTTTGTGCTTGAGCCATAGGCCAGCAGGACCCACGTGCCTGGTGCCTGCAGCTGGGATGGGAGGAGCTGGGGGCCTTTCCTTCTGTACATGCACCTGCTGCCTGGGCCTGACCGCTCCCATCCCTAGCACTACCCAGGAGGTTTGGACAGACCCCTGTCTGTGTGCCAGCTGAGGTGACTCCAGAGTGGACTCCTTGAGCTTCTGGCTGGCAGGGTGCCAGCTGGCTTCTCCCTGTATTCAGGTACTGTGAACCGGGCCTGTTCTCTGGGTGCATCTCAACTGCCAGCTTTAGACTCAGGGTACTTACCAGGTCCTTGCTCTGCCAGGCAGGTGCATCACCTGTTTACTTATCCCCCACCTCCTGTGAGGTGACTGTTTGGTCCCATTCACAGTAAGGCAACTTGTGCTTGGAACCAGGAAGGGTGGCAGAGACGGCCATGGAGATGTGCCTGGGAGAGGTGTGCGCCTTTGCCCAGGGGAGGCCGAGACAGGCAGGGGCCTGGCCTTCTGTCGGCACCTTCCTCCATCCCATGTACTGAGTGCCTTCCCGTGTGCGGTCACCAGGGCTGGGGCTCACTCATAGCATTTGCATTCCAGTGAGGGGAGACAGCCAGATGAGGGCTGCTGTGAGAGACAGAAGGGGCTTGGTGCTGCCGTGGAATAAGTGGTGTGAGATGATGTGTGATGCAGTGGACAGCCACTCTGTCAAGAGTGGTCAGAGATGACAGCCCAGCTGAGAGCTGCATGATGAAAAGGAGTGGGGCCTGCAAACATCTGGAGGGAGAACATTCTGGGTTATTGGAATAACTAGTCCAAAGGCCCTGAGCCTACTCCTGGCAAGTCTGAGGCTGGAAAGGAGAGCTGAATGCAATGGAAGGCTCTGGAACA